TCTTTTAGAAATGTAAAAGTGAAATGAATACGCCTCAGGCTGAAGGAAATCCAAAATCACGTCTGTACAGTAGAGGGCGCAGCATGAAGAATACGACGCAGGAGAAGAAGTTCAACGCTATTCAGCAATAACACAAATGAAACAAATGTGTCATTTTTGCTTAGTGTGGTTGAATTGGACCATCGAAGGTCAGCAGCAAAGACATTGGTTGATAAAATGGGATTAAATACATAAGTAATATTTGTCTTATTTAACATATTTAATTATTGCAGGTTCGTATAATATTCTGAGTTTGCATTTGACTGTTTTTATTCATTTTGAGGAATACTGGATCTGTTTTTGTGCAGGTGAGATGAGTAAATACATGTTCATATTTAGTCTAGAACTACAGTAATATCATGTTCACACAACGCTCTGCACTTATTCCCAATTTCTCTCAACATGGCAACACGAGCTGTCAGTCAATACATGGGAAACAGAGTAACTGGAGTTACTTATTTGAAAAAGTAACTCAGATATTTCCTTATAAATTAAAAAGTAATGTGTTACTTTACTAGTTACTTAAAACAGTAATCTGATTACGTAACTCGCGTTACTTGTAATGCGTTATCTGAATATATTCTAATAAAAACAGCTAGGCCTATTTGAAATTGTAATAATATTTCACAAGATTACTGATTTTCTATATCTTTAGGCAAATATGTAGAGATTTTTTTTCAAAACTTTAAAAATTAAAATTTCCAGGGTTTTTTTGTTTTTTTTTACCAGCCCCAAACATTTGAATGGTAATGCAATAGGCCTACTTTTAATAATAATCTGTACATATTACTATTCAAACTTTTAGGATCTGTAAGTTTTTTGTTTTTTTTTTATAAAATAAACTTTAAGTTTTTTAAAATTAATACTTTTATACATCAAGGACACATTAAATTGATCAAAAGTGACAGTAAAGACATTTATGTAGTTACAAAAGATTTCCAATCTCAATTCAAATAAATGCTGTTTTAAAATGTATTCAAATAGAATGTATTTGAACCCTCTGGGGTCTGTCTCGTATTTTCTGCATGACCGCGAAAATAACTAAAAATACTCCGTCATTTTTGATCGTACAGATAATAATTGCAATAATATTTAATAATATGTGACCCTGGACCACAAAACCAGTCATAAGGGTCTATTTTTTTTTTATTGAGATTTATATGAATAAATTAGCTTTCCATTGATGTATGGTTTGTTATGATAGGACAATATTTGGCTGAGATACAACTATTTGAAAATGTGGAATCTGAGAGTGCAAAAAAATCAAAATATTGAGAAAATCATCTTTAAAGTTGTCCAAATGAAGTTCTTAGCAATGCATATTACTAATCAAAAATTGTTTTAATATATTTACGGTAGGAAATTTACAAAATATCTTCATGGAACATTATACTTTACTTAATGTCCTAATGATTTTTGGCATAAAAGAAAAATCTATCATTTTGACCCATACAATGTGTTTTTGGCTATTGCTACAAATATACCCCAGCGACTTAAGACTAGTTTTGTGCTCCAGGGTCATATATTGCTATCTTACTGTTTTTTTTTTAAACAAACAAATGCTGAAATTTCAAACTGCAATAATATTTCAAAATATTACTATTTTTACTGTATTTCTAAACAAATGAATGCAGTCAAAAATCATACTGACCCCAAACGTTTGAAAGGTAGTGCAACACTTTTAATGTTTATTAACCTGTACATATTTTATTTTTGTGGGTTATTAAATTTTAAGGTTGGTAGTTTTTTTTTCTTTCCTTTATTCATCAAGGATGCATTAAATTGAGAAAATGACAAAGTTAGAGAATAAAGACATTTAAAATGTTACAAAAATATTCATATTTAAAAAAAAAAAATGCTGTTCTTTTGAACTTTCTAATCATCAAAGAATCCTGAAAAACAAAATGTATCACAGTTTCCACAGAAATATTAAGCTAGAACTATTTTCAACATTGATAATAGTAATAAATGTGTCTTGAGCAACAAACTCTTTGTTTAATCTCACTGCTGTCTTGGAGAAACAATCAGGATATTAAAGAGATCTTGATTTTTTTTTTTTTCTCTATTGTGTGTTGCTGTAAAGCTTTTAGGGGTGACACCTCATAAGTTGTAAAGCGACACACACACCATCTGTGATCTCCATATGTCTGTGATTAGTTCATGAGGTTTGAACCTGCTGGTTCAGCGAAGGACAAGAAACACAACATCACACACACCAGAACACTCACAATCAGCACGACTTCCTGTCATGTGACTTAAGCTTGGTCTAAAAGAGCATCTCACATCCTCTAACCAGCTGGGAAAGATCTGTTCAATATCTCGAATTATCTAGGGAAGGAGACTCCATTAAGTCTCAGAGCCAAGTTTTCCTGGGCTGCATTTGTTGATAGTTAGTCCTCCAGTAATCAGATTACAGTCTAATTAAATCACCGGGTTTTAAACTGGTTTTTACCTAAGACTCGCCCCAAACCAAGAGACTGATATCATGAGGTACAATCAGTGCAATGACATTTTACTCTGATTTTACACTTATTTAAACACGGTTTATTCATATATTTGAGACTGTCAATCTGTATAATAATTAGAATACTCAGCCTTACACAATCATAGCCAATTACATAATGCCCTATAACTGAAATGACACAAACTTTATAGGTCTTAGATCACTAATTTTCACAACTCCCTATACTTCCAAAACTGTTTTATGGAGTTTCTGTCTACTTAAGTAGACAGTACGTGTTGTTGGTTTAGAGCTAGCAGGAAACACAAATTCAGTGTTGTCTTTATTCTCTTTCAAGCACCCAAACAATCCAAAGAAAACATCTTTGAAACAGAAAGAAAAGTCACTTACAAAAAAAATAAATAAAAATCTGACTAAAATGTCGGTGTGTGTGTGTGCATTGCCAAACAAGTGAATGAATCTTCCTCAGAAGAGACCAAAACAGCAGCTCACTTCAGTGTCTGACTAATATTATAATCACGTCCATAAGCTTTTTCTGAAATTGGGATGAACTCATGAATCTGTTGTTTGATCTCTTCATATTTAAGGAGAGAACTATAGTTTCCAGAGTCGGACATCGCTTGTTATGATTTTCAGGGGTGTAGAATTGAGCAGGAACGCTATGAGATGTCCCTAACACTACTAAATTGTCCCTGGCAATAATTCAAACAGTTGAATGTCTGTTGTCTGCCACTGTCCCCACCAATGCCAGAATCTATTCACTGCAAAAAATGCTTTTCTTGCTTAGATTTTTTGTCTTGTTTGCAGCCAAAATATCTAAAACTTCTTAAATCAAGAAGGATTTTCTAGACAAGTAAAAATTATTGTCTTGTTTTCAGAAAAAAACATGTCAGAATTAAGTGAGTTTTTGCCTGAAACAAGTAAAATAATCTGCCAATGGGGTAAGCAAAATAATCTTGTTTTTTGTTTGAAATAGGATTATTTTGCTTAGCCCATTGGCAGATTATTTTGCTTGTTCTAAGAAAAAACTCACTTAATTTTGACTTGTTTTTTCTGAAAACGACAATAATTTTTACTTGTCTAGAAAATCCTTCTTGATTTAAGAAGTTTTAGATATTTTGGCTGAAAACAAGACAAAAAAAACTAAGTAAGAAAAGCATTTTTTGCAGTGTTGTCATGTATTAAGATCGCGACAGATGCTCTGAGCTCTTTAGTCACGTGAATGCGTCTTAAGCAGCATCAGTGGGCTCCGGATTTCCTTCCGTGACCGTCAACATGTCCACTCACATCTAAATGCAAGCACAGCGTTTAGCCATTAGACTAGCGCGTTTACATAGTAATGCATTGCTATGGACATTTGTAGTTCGAAATCCAATCGGAATCAAGCAGGAATCCTTTAAACATTAAAAAGATAAACAACACTTCTGCTTGTTTTTCAAAATTTAATTTTATCCGATATGATCTACAAATCGTGGATTTGTATTTGAACTGCGAATGCACTAAGAATAATTTTTAATTTATTATTTTATTCATTTATGTATATTTTTATAATTTTTAATTAACATAATTAAAAATGTATTATTTTAGTCATTTATGTATTTTTTTTATCATTTTTAATTAACATAATTAAAACTTAAAATAATTATTTTATATAATTATAAACAATTAAATATATATAGAAAATAATTAAATAACTATAGAAAATAAATTTAATATAAAATAAAAATTATTTCATAATTATAAAAATGTGATCAAATAAATAAATAAAAAGAATGTACATATATAATGCATTTAAAAATATTTACTTTTTACTTTCAAAATATTTATTTTTAAAATTAATAACAATTATTATTACATTTTTTATTGTTTTAAATGTTGTGTAAATTATTATAAAAAAAATACGATTAGAAATACAATAGTGTTCCTTCTAGCGCTTCTTTTAGCTGTTCCTAATATGCTTTTGGTATCTTCATACATGTTGTTGTGTAAAA